TTTGCTTTTCTTCCCCCTGTTGCCACCGTAAAGACTGTTGAGTGCATTTGTTCTTCTTCAATGGTCCTCATAAGAGCCGTTTGGTTTATTTCGCACTCGTTTACATGTTTGATTTTGGGAAGAATCGTTAGGTTTCTTTCTAGTCAAGCTGAAAGATTGCCTACATAACGTTCAAATGACGACATTCATTGTATTCTTAAGCTTTGACGCACCTTCACAACACGTAGAGAAGCGCCACAGTGAAGGTTGTCGTCTTGTCCACTGAGACTGTACTAACCATTCAGAAAATGGAAAGCATATTGAATGGAATTCATAATGCTTTCTTACGAGATAAATACGATCGGTGACCCTCAACTCTTTCGTCGGATTTGCAGTTGGCACAATTTTCTAATACCAGAATATGCAAAATATGTTAACAACCTTGCGTTTGTTTGGTCAGTTTCGGTTACCATTGCGTCGTTGGCTGAATATTTAACAAATCATTGCAGACCTTCAAAACGACGTCATCGGCCCATTCCACTGTACCTTTTCCTCCCATGTAACTTGAACTTCTAATGCGCTAGCCGCTCTCATCTACATGGACAGTAAGTCATGAAGAATGAATGCTGAGTTAGCGCATTCATATTGCATCTGCCGTTAGTAAGCTATTAGCGGACTAAATACAGTTGTCCCTCTTTACTGACAAACTTCTCTTAGTTTTGGGTCAATAATTTGAACCGAAGTTGAGCCTATTTAGTAGTTTTTGACTTGTCGTAATTAAAGTGGCTCAGACTTATTTGTGTCCGCAGAAACAGTATTCACAACATATCATGCAATATTTCAAAATTCTACAGCAGACTTGATTCTGAAGAATAGTACCATAGAGTCATACAGCAAAGGCCACTAGGTTAATTGAATTTCTATCTTTCTATCGGTTTATTTCCCTCAGCCTAGTGATGCAGGCTGGTGATTTTTAGATGTGCGTTGTTTTACGACTGCAATATCCCTTCATTCGTTCGATGACAAACTTGTGTGTGTTGTGTGTCATCGAACTGTACATTCCATAAATTCAATATATTAAATTTTACTTTTATGTTAGTTTGTAGCTATTCTAGGGATGCTTGCCACGAAACAGTGCAAGATTTATTGATCGATGTATCGCTGGAGACAAAATATCATATGAAATGGCTTTGAGCGGTGGGCTGTTTAAACGGACTCCTGTATCTTTAAAGCTATGATTGAATGATGCATTGTTACTCCTAAGCTAGATTTCACGGTGCACTGCACCGCTCTCTTACCCATAGTTCCTATGGCTCGAA